TGCTGTGTCTTCCTCAGAAGCCATGTTACTGCAGCCAGTTCACCTGGTGCACGTACCACTGTCCCGTCAGAGGTCCCATGAAACCCTGGACCATTACAGCTGCCCTTCCTCTCAGGGAGCACACACCACAAACAAGCAGCGCCAGCATGTCACACACTGCTGTTTTTGCAGTTCACTTAGACTGACGCTTACACATTCCAATAGCAAAACAGACGCCGGTGCTGAGAAGACATATGTCAGCACCCTCTCCCGCCCTCTCCAGCAGCGAGCACCCATGGGCCCCAGCACACAGAAGCCCAGGCTTTCTTCACAGCAACCGTGGCCAGGACTTTTTGAGTCTTGCCATAGAGGCAGTGTTTTCAAAGACAACAGCAGCACCTCTGAGGGTCCCAAAAGGGTACAGCAGTGGCCCACAGCTGCTCCAACTCAGGCCCATGTGAGAGATGGCGTGGCTCACCATGTACCATGCAGAGCAGCGTCTGTGGCTGCTGTGATGCACAGGTAGCGTGCCACTGAGGCATTTCATCCACAGCACATACTGCATCTGAACCAAGGCTCAGAGGAGAGAAATCCCATTCCATAAACCATCAGAGGCCAAGGGAGCCATCTCAGAACTGATGTTCCATGGCTCGAATCTCTTTGAGATGAACTGACCTATTCAGAAAGGGAAAAACAATTCTTTGTAATTGGAAAGAAGCTAAATGTTAAGACTCATTGGGTTGCACAGAGCCCAGATCAGTGTCATCTGAGAAGCTGGAACCGCATGTATCCAGGGTATCCAGGGTCCCATCTCAGAGCCGCCAAATAAAACCCAACTGTGATGGAAGGATAAGTACCTGTTGTGTTTTTTGTTTTGTTAGGTTTTTCTCTTCTGTTTTTGAGAGGGAATCTTGCTCTGTCACCCAAGCTGGAGTGCAGTGGTGCGATCTCAGCTCACTGCAACTTCCGCTTCCCAGGTTCAAGCGATTCTCCTGCCTCAGCCTCCTGAGTAGCTAGAATTATAGCCGTGCACCACCACACCTGGCTAAATTTTAGATTTCACCATGTTGGTCAGGTTGGTCTTAAACTCCTAACCTCATAATCCTCCTGCCTTGGCCTCCCAAAGAGAGGCACCTGTTTTAACAGCCACCCGTGCTCCCAGCCACAACACAACTGAAAGTCAGCAGATAATTAACTGGACTGTTGAATCTCTTAATCAGAAAAGATTTCCTAAATCATCTGAATATTTCTGCCAAACAAACATTCTCTTTGGCTTACAAGCCATGAGCACCAGTCAGCATGACATAGAGAAGGCTGTTTTTTTTGAGACAGAGTCTCACTCTGTTGTCCAGGCTGGAATGCAGTGGCATGATCTTGGCTCGCTGCAGCCTCCACCTCTGAAGTAACTGGGACTATAGGTGTGCACCACCTCACCCAGCTATTTTGTGTATTTTTAATAGAGCTGGCACCTCACCATGTTGGCCAGGCTGGTCTCGAACTCCTGACCTCAGGCTTCCACCCGCCCCAGCCTCCCAAAATGCTGGGACTGCAGGCATGAGCCACCACACCAGGCTAAGAAGTTTCTGATAGAGGCTTAGGGGAGGCTCCTGTCCCATCCGGGGGCATCCATGTCCCACCCAGCTTCCCACACTGACAATGCTCAAGGCATCACAGCAAGGGCAGCTGCATCCCCGCAGTTCTCTGTGCTAAGGCCACAGCTGCTTGAGCTGTCACCGTCCTGGAGCTGCCACTCAGCCTTGTCATGCTGGCACAAGCACAGCAGAAACCACCAAGCCCCCAGGAGGAAGGAGTGAGGTCCAGGAGAGCGAACCAGGAGAGAGGGGTGCAGGTTGGCCCAGAAGGCCACTACGTTAGTGAGTTCGCACACCTCAAATACCTCTCACATCCATCCGTACAGGGAGGGGATGGAAGCCATTCAGAACCCATGGCACTTTCTCTAACAAGGAGTGAAAATATCAGAGCTAAAATTCTACCCTAGTGGGGAGATGCTATTCAACAAGTTTCATAGACCCAAATGGGAGCAAGAGAAACCAATTGCACAAGATAGGTAGATGGAAACAAATCAGAAATTCAGCTGTGAAGCTTTCAGAAAAAACGTGAATTGATCTGCACAACGGCTGTGGCTCTGCCCAATCATTTCTGCAAATGTCTCCCTGTGATGAGCCATCTCGGAGCCTTTCAAGACAGTATCAAAATCAAAATGCCAAGGAACATTTGTATTTTAGACAACCTGCAACAGTACAGAAATGAGCAGGGGTGCCAGAGAGTTAAAGTTTGTTTGAAATAAATTACAGCATGAGGGCAGCTGCTTCTTGGCTGAAGCAATGAAGTGGGCTCCTGCTCACTGTTGGGGAGACCAGCTTTCAGTTACAACATGGTCAAGGGTCTGCAAACCACGATTCCCGAGCCATAGCCAGGAAACCAGAAGTGATTTTTGCACTTTAAAGGTTTAGCAAAAGAAAAAGAATATGCAGAGACTTCTGTCCCACAAAGCATAACACATTGTTACCCTGCCCTTTACAGAAGCTTCTAGCTTGGGTGTCAGCTACAAAGTGTTTCTATAAAATCATGTCATTGATTCTCAAGCGCGCCAGGAAAAGTCACACTTCTGAACAACCCTCAATGGAGATGCACCACCCTGTATTTAAAACAGATTTGATTTTTGTAAAAGCCAAAACAGGGTAGGTAATTCAGCTAAGTATTATCGTAATACAATTTGAGATACATAATGATGTGTGACAACAAAATAACCAATTGGCATTCCTGTGTGAAAATGAACTGGTTCAAAGTCAAATGCAAACCAACCAACCAAAGCAGATTTGGGCTCTCAAAGTGATCAGTCAAACTGGGAATAACATTCAGTTAACTGATACTCATTTGCTTTATTACTTAAAAAACAAAACAAATACCACTACACAATCACTCCTTAATTTAACTACTGCTGCAAAATAAAGTGGAGAGACTTCTTACTGAAAGGCTAATAATCAACCATCATCACCATGAATAGACTGCTGTGCAGGCTCAGGCCTCCCACCCTCAAAGACATGGAGAGGGAGGAGAGGGGATTGTCAAGAAGAAACCAACGTGGCAACCATGACCTAGTCAGCTATTTTACCCTCACACCTTTCTTCCCGACTTAAAATTCTGGAGCCATCTGGGCCTTATCTTTCTATGTCAATAAGTCAGCAAGTTCTGGAAGCCAGACATCTACAGTGCTTCTGGCAGCCACAACCTCTGTCTTCCCCCATGTTTTGGGATCCCATCAGCTCACCCCTGGATAGTTTCGACAGCCTCCAAGCTCCAGCTCACCATGAATAGAGCTTGCACTCCACGGACTGAAGTATACCAAGAGCCACTCGAGGCTGCCACTCCCATGACCAAAGGCTTTCAGAGACAGTCACAGCACTGCATGATTCCATGCAGCTTCATCAGGCACCACATGGCTCCAGCATTCCATCGCGCCTGTCACTGCCACCATAGCTATGAGTCTATGACGTGCCAGGAAGGGACTATATGGATCATCTCATTTAAGCATTACAGTGTCAACAGGTAGATTTTGTTGTGCCTGATTTATGGATCAGGAAAGTTTTAAAGAGGCCAAGCACAGGGCCCTGCTGACACAGGAGGAAGCCCCGCTAAGGCCTGGGTGTGACCCCACCCCACTCTCCCTGGGTCCCAATGTCCACTCCTCCCAGTAGCCCCACAGAGGCCTGGGTGTGACCCAGCCCCATTCTCCCAGAGTCAAAAGGTCCACTCCTTCCCAGCAGCCACACAAAGACCTGGGCCTGACCCCACCCCACACTCCCTGGGTCATAACATCCACTCCTCCCCAGTGGAAGCCTAATCCTGGGTCTGCCTGAATTGCTGCCATTCCTAAGACACGACCCATGTCTCCCCACCTCGTTCTTTATCCACTTCCCACAGCCCAGAGGCGTGTGCACTTCTACCCAACCAGCCGTTGCACTTCAGCACCTGCATCTGACACATCACTTCAGCCAAAAGCTTCTCTCAAACCTCCCCTCCAACTGCTGGTCACACAGGCCTGTGCCCATCACCTGTACCACACAAATTCTCAAGTATTCCTGTATCACACTGTCCAACTGATTAAAGTCTGCTGAGAGGAGGAACCTGTGTAGATAAATGCACATCCTACTTCACTCCCAGAACACTGCCTTGCATGAGGCAACCGACTCACAGCAAATTCAATTCATCCCAGTATTTCCATTCAAAGAAACGCAGAGCATAAGGGCTCTGGTAATAATTAAAAGTATATTTCATTAGTCACCTGAAATTCCGTGTACTGCTGCAACACCAGCATTCCTACCTCAATGGATGTTATTCTTCCAGCACACGACTCCCCGCAGGCACTGCAGGCTTCCCAGCACCCCACCCCAGCACTGGCCTAAGGACAAGACAGTGTTGCCTCCAACAACTAAAGGATCTGAAGCTGGCCACCTGCTCTGTAGAATAATGGAGAGAGATGTTATTAATCCCTGACATTTCCACGGACAGGCCACTCGGCGAAACTGGGAAGAACGCCACAAAATAGCACCCACAGGGAGGAGCACTTCTCTCTCCAGCCTGACAGCAAACGGCAGCTGAGCGATCGCTTCAGGATAACTGTGGAGTACATCTAAGGTCTGCAACAGCCACGACGAGGGCCAACTCCCCCAATCCCACTTCCTGAGACTCAGCCCTGCCAGGCCACCTCTTCTGGAAGATCAGCTCCAACGCACCCCGAGAAAGAGTCGGGAACTAGCTCCATGGCTCATTTCCCAGGATCCCACCACCACCCTTTATCCTTTCTCTTCCCTCTCTCTTCCTCCATCCCTTCTTCACTCCCACCCTCCCTCACCCCTTTCACTTCCCTTCTCTCCTCCTTCTCTCCTCCCTCATCTCCTTTCTACCATGCACCTTCCTCTCCTCCATCCCCCTCTTCACTCTCATCCTCCCTTGTCCCTTTTCACTTCTCTCCTTTTCCTCCTCTCTCCCCCTCATACCTTCCTCATTGCACTTCCCCATCCAACTCAGCCAACGTATTCTCAAGTCAATAGACAGTTTTCTTTCACTTGGTGTTTTTGTTGCAATGACTTTTTAACAATGAATGGAAAAAAAAAAAAAAAACAATGAATGGAGATCTGTTTTGGACTATCTGGATGGCCACCTAGTGACCAGCTGCTTCCCTGTGTGCTTCATGTCCACTCAGTGTCCTCATGACACCAGTGCCCAGCAGCACAGCTGTGATCAGGATGTAGAAGAGGCATCCTGCCCAAGAGGCCCTGCAAAGCCTCCACAGCAAACTGGAGCAAGGCCCAGCATGTTAGGGAGAGCACCATGCCCATGATGCAAGCAGTTCAGCTTCTAAAAACTGCCCATTGACTGTGACTTCCTTTGTATCCATGGTTACAACAGAACTGTAAGCATTCTGGAGTATGTTTTTGGTTTCATGTTTGCAAATTCTAAGCAACATTATAATAAAAGTCACTGAACTCTGCCCCTAAGGCTCTAGGAGTGTTTTCCTCTCTGAAAGGAGCCCCTTCCAGGACTCCAGATTGAGCGACAGCCTTCGATCACAGTTATTTCAGTGGTAACGGGTCGACTCAGCCTGCAGTGAGCTGGGGCCTCCACAGCCTCATGGCTCCACATGCCAGTGTTCTAAGGATCACACGTGTGCAGACAGCACCTGGCATGTGTGCAGCAAGCTTGGCTAACATGCCCAAAACATCTCACTCATACCCGCTAGCCACACCTCTTCTCTCAGCCTCCATGGCGTTTCACTCTGCCTTTATGTTGCTGGGGACTATGCATCCTGAGCCACACAAAAATTCCTCAGCTCCTTCAGGGCAGGGGGCTGCATCTCTCCACCTCGGGGCCCCCTATTCCAGACAGCACAGGATTTGCAGAGTGGGCGAGTCTAATGTTCGTGACACTTTCTCAATATTCCTTTCACATCACTCCAAAACCAAAGAAGTAGACCAGCTTCTTACTGAGACTATGAGGAAAATATTTGTTCTATTATTTGTCACTTAACATAATACTTGTGAAGAATGTGACTTTAAATGTACACTCTAAGAACCCAAACTGTGAACATTCTGCTCCAGTGACTGTATTTATGGGTTACAAGGACAAAACTTCTCCACGGTAGCCAAAAAATAAGTGAATGCTCTTTTTTAACATAACCTCCACTCATCTGAAAGTCACAGATACAGTTTTTCCTTTATAAAAGATCCAGTGATCCACAGGCCAGGTTTAATAACACGTGGGTCCAGGTGAGAAAATGACCCGTCAGTGTCCCTCCCGGGAAAGCTCCACAGAGCTGCCTCCCTTAAAGACAAGGGCAGCCAGGAAACCACGTTCTCCAGTAAATGATAGTCAACAGGATTCAGTTAATAAGCTGCTATAAGACTGAGATCTCCCACAGCAGAGAGAGCCTCTCAAGAGTCAAGATGTCCCCACTCCCTGAATTTCCTACAAAGAACAGGGCACGCTACCCAACTGTGGACTAAGGCAGTTAATAAACGTGTTTTCAGGAAACAGCAGAATCAACCCACAAATGAGAGGTATCATTTTCCTTCTAGGAGGGAAATGCTACAAAGCATGTACGTTGTAGCACGTAAATGATTTCTTTGGGTGTTCCTATGTCTGTTGTCACATGCAGCACATAACCTCAAAAGTCCAAGTTCTGTAACTCACATCCCAGGAGGTGGAAAATCATTCCTAATTTTAGCAATCAAGTAAGAACCTGATCAAGAGATGCCTACTTGTTCTGGAGTCTAAGCAGCAATATATTGCTGCAATATAATGAACAACAGGGATGATTAATGAAGAAAATTTCAATACTAAAAAAAAGACTAAAACATAATTGGATTTATTCTACTCTAGTTTAGACAGAGCAGCCAGGCAGTTCACCCATACATTATTATTATTATTGTCATTGCTATTATTTGTTTCTGAGACAGGGTCTCACTCTGTCAACAAGGCTTGAGTGCAGTGGTGTGATCTCCACTCACTGCAAGCTCCACCTCCCAGGCTCAAGCGATTCTCTTACTTCAGCCTCCTGAGTAGCTGGGACTACAGGCATGCAGCCATTATGTCCAGCTGATTTTTATGTTTTCAGTAGAACTGGGGTTTCGCCAAGTTGCCCGGGCTAGTCTCAAACTCCCAGGCTCAAGCAATCTGCTCACCTCAGCCTCCCAAAGTGCTGGGATTACCAACTGTGAGCCACCACACCCAGCCCTTTTTTAAAGTGATTATGTGCTTCGGAATCTTGTAGGTACTTTTTTTTTTTTTTTTTTTTTTAAGAACAAGCAGAGTAATTCCATAAGAAACCACTAACAGAGGTTTTACACATCTCAAAACTCACAACTGAAATGCTAAGAATAAAGTGTATTTTATTCACAGAAGCAGCATTCTTAAAGTCCTATAAAAGTGATACCGTGGACACACCACCACCAGTGCACAAACTGAGATGTGGTGGGACTGCTTGGATTTCCCAACTCATTGTGAACAGTCCTCCTGTTACTTTCCTCAGTGGGGACACTTTATTCTGTTTTCTACTCAAATTAAGTATCTTGCAAGGGAGCTGAAGAAAACTGAATAGCAGATTTTAAACTTCAATGCTTTTCTCAATTTAAGCCATGTTATAATGCATTTTATTGACTATGTGGTCAATATTAAATTCAATACCTTGTATCAATAAAGAGATTATCGTTTTAGCAATAAGGCTTTTTCTCTTATATACAAACATCTGTAACTTAAGCTAGTAAGCTGGGCATTTCACAAAAATTTTGCGTAATTCCCAGCACAGATTTTAGCAAAATAAAAATCCCTGGCCGGGCGCGGTGGCTCACGCTTGTAATCCCAGCACTTTGGGAGGCTGAGGCGGGTGGATCACGAGGTCAAGAGATCGAGACCATCCTGGTCAACATGGTGAAACCCCGTCTCTACTAACAATACAAAAATTAGCTGGGCATGGTGGTGCACACCTGTAGTCCCAGCTAGTTGGGAGGCTGAGGCAGGAGAATTGCTTGAACCCAGGAGGGGGAGGTTGCGGTGAGCCGAGATCACGCCATTGCACTCCAGCCTGGGTAACAAGAGCGAAACTCCGTCTCAAAAAAAAAAAAAAAATCCCTGTTATCTTTCCACAATTAAATAACCAAGGATAGGAAATTGCATGGATACAATAACCATTCCATCATTTTATATACATACACACAAATGAGAGTATGCTCTGGAAAACAGTATTTCAACATGCTAACGATGAAGCAAAGGAATTCCTCAGCAGACAGTGTCATGTGGCATGTGATGAATAAAGTACTCTGGCCCACGCCCAGCCGAGTTAAATGGAAATGCGGGAAATGTATTAGTGACCGTTGCGGGGCACCCTGATAGGCCCCAGTCCAGGAAAGAACAGCTAACACCTGGCTTCTTCATGAGAAATCCAAAACATACACAAGAGACTTTGATTCTTTGAAAAACAATCTAACCCCATACTAACCTGACGCTCCCATTGACAAAGTTTGCCATAAACACAGAGGTATTAATCCACGCCCTGGAAAATCAGGAACACGGTATATACACGACATTTTAAAACACTCAATGCTGACAATATCTTAAATGCGCTATGATACCACAGGTTTTGTGCAGGACTTCAAGCATCACAGCCTGATTACCTGTCCCGGTGCTCAATGCTTTATGTGTGCAAGGCCTGCAGTTACAATTTACTGGGCTTAATGTGATTCAATCTGTCACAGAAGAGAGCTATGAGGTTTCCTTAATTCCACGCAGATTCTCAGGTTTACCTTCCATGAGTGAGTGCTCCGCCCATGAGATAGCAGCGGGAAGACCCAGGGAAGGCCCAGGAGATGCCAGGCACTCACGAACTGGTATCAATCAGTCCACTGGTCTTGGTTTAAAGGAAAACAGAAATAAGAGGGAACTAAAAGCGCTCACTATATCTAATATCACAATGTTCTTAACTCTACCTTAGCCAAAAATAAAAGTGGAAAAGCAAAACAACTCCAGGGCATGATTACAATGCCAATCTGAAACATGGAATTGCTAATACTTAGCAAAGTTGACTGTGGGCGCAACTAATATACATATAAACACTGGTTTAGCAAAATCCAGTCTCTGTGATTACCTTTAAAACAAGTAAAATTCTCATCTGAGGATCATGTACACTAACTGAAGTTTTCAAATGCAGGGATTGGTAAACTCCAGGGTGTATGATTTCTGCCACACACGAGGGAACCAGTGAGACAGGAGCTAGAATCAAGTGTGCTTAGGCCATCCTAGGACAGAAATTCAGCCTCTGCCAAAACAAACTCAGGAGCCTGTCAACTTCAACAGTGAGCTCTGCTTCAGAGAGTCAAGATGATGAAGTCGCAAAGAGTCTTCTCCCTCCTATGGGCATGTGTAATCCTGGCAAAAATAGCTCAGCATCATCAAAAACCGGAAAAGAACACAAGCCTCCCAGACGTCATGTCCAAGAGAAGGAGGAAGCAGGGCCCAAGGTTGCTCAGCAGAACTGTTCCTGGAGGGGAAAAGAACCAAGGAAGTCACAGGAGAGCAGGGCGAGCAATAGCGGCTTCCGTTGTCTCGCTGCAAGCCGGGCCTCAGCCAGGGGCACAGTCTCATCCAACTGGACTGACTAGGAAGCTCGAGGAGTCACAGAGAACTCAATTTAGGGTCATCTTCGGATGTGCAACAATGGAAAACCATCTCACGTCACCCTCTCCTCTCCTCCACGGTAATAGCTGAGCTCACGCTTTTAGGACTGCAGTGGCTTTGCGTCTGTCACATCCCCCACTTCCTCCCTTATGCAGATGCTATTCCTGGACGCAGATGCCCATCCCTGTGCTGCTCCTGAAGCCGCATCTGTTGCCATGCAGCACAGTGACCAGGAATTCACCTTTGTCCAGGAGAGGCAAATGCAGAGTTCACACATTCTTACACAGGTTTGCTGGCCAAGAATCTAACCACACTGTCCTATTCCAGATGTGCTGGCACCAAGCAGAATGTCAGATAGCCAGCATTTATGAATGGGATCGATGGGGTTTCTTCTGGAACTCCCAGGTGGCTGCACAAGGAAGGGAGCTGTCGTCCAGGTTATGATCCTGAGCCAAAGCAAATGCCACAGACCACACCACACTTTGGTCCTTACCAACACTTGACAGTTGCTTATTTGTGTGTTGAAAGGCAGTGTTGGGGGCACAGGCATCAGACAGGCCTGGTCTCCACCATGGGACAGCAGTGACTGCCCACAAGTCCCTTCCTAAGCCCTGGCCTGCCCATCTGGCGTTCATTCAGTAACAATGCTCACCTCATAGCACTGCTATGAACACTAAATTAGCCGGCACACAACTTCCCCAGCACGTATATACACACCCAGATTCATTTCAATTGTGCTTTCTACCCCAATTTAATACGACCAAATGCTGTCACTGAGACAGAAGAACCAATGTTAGAACAGAAGGTTAGGCTGGGCATGGTGGCTCATACCTGTAATCCCAGCACTTTGGGAGGCTGAGGTGGGCAGATCACTTGAGGTCAGGAGTTGAAGACCAGCCTGGCCAACATGGCAAAACCCCATCTCTACTAAAAATAAAAAATTAGCCAGGCATGTTGGCATACACCTGTAATCCCAGCTACTTGGGAGGCTGAGGCATGAGAATTGCTTGAACCTGGGAAGTAGAAATTGCAGTGAGCCAAGATCGCACTGCTATACTCCAGCCTGGGTGACAGAGTGAGACTCTATCTTTAAAAAAAAAAAAAAAAAAAAGTCAAAATGAAAACTAATTGCCAATATCCAGACTCCATTTATTCAAAATGTAAAATTAATTAGCTGGTACTTGATCAAGTTATTTTTTTCTTCATTACAATCCTGTGTATCTAACACTGCTCAAAATGTTTACGTTTGAACATACCTTGAGGGTGACTGACAAAAAAACACAGTGCATGTATTTCATAAGTGAGCAAGTTCCAGTAAGGCTACATCCTGCTATAATTAATCCTTTGACAACATAAAACTGAGCCATTCTCTGACATAGCACTGGCACACAGTACAAGAAGAATGACCTCCAAGTAAGTAAGTTGCTAGATTTAGAAAACACATAAATACAGTTTATTGCTAATTCATCAGTAATTAGCAAGAATTTAAAGGAAGAAAAAGCATCAGGACTGTAACTAGGAATAAAGGCAAAAGTTAACATGAGAAATCAGTCACGTTTAAATCAGTGCCCTTTCTATGTGGCCATAACAGTTTGTACACCTGTTGTTTATACTTTACCATGCTAAGCTGTCACCAAGCTCTCTATGAAGGTGGTAAGACCTTCCCGAGTCACAGAGCCTCGTATTCCTATTTAAACCTGAAACAGCCAACAACATGCTTAGCACGCAGTAAGAACTCTGTGGATGCTCGGGAATATATGCCAGGGTGAAGGGTCCCAGCCCTGCCATCAGCCTGCTGCTTATTAAAAGTATCAAACAAAGCCCTGCCTTCAAGGTGCTCAGATCTAACTAGCACAAGATTTTTCTTTTAATATGAAAAGTTAAATAACTATGAGAAAAGACTCTGAACACCTATGAGAAACATAAGGCGACCAAATAAGGTGAACTCAGCTGAGACTAAATCGGAGATGGTCTTTTAACCACAAAAGAGGAAAGAACTGAAAAACCTTTTAGAAAGATGTGAGCAATTTCTATTTCTCCACGTTAGAACCTGGAATTTACCTTTGAGACAGACCATCCTTCTGTTCTGAAAAAATCAGATTATTCTTGCAATTGTCCATCGGGATGGAAATTCCCAAAGACATAGAAAACAAAGTACTAATTTTAAAAATCTGAGAAACTAACTACAATCTTAGGTTTGAGATTTCTTATTCTCAAATTCCAAATTTGGAAATGTTTTGTACAAAGTTCCAATTTCCCCTGTTTACTTGAAACCTCTCTACTCTTTTGTCCTAAATATCTTCTTTCTCATCCTTCCAAACAGTACCTGAAAATGAACTTACACATCATTTTCAACTTTAAAAAAGAAGAACTGCGTTTGTCACAAACTGTTTATATTTGCAAAGGTAGCAGGGATTTTGCTATATCATGAAGAAGAACAAAAGGCAGTAGCTACTCCACAAATAAAGAGAAACAGTATGAGCACATTTCCTGATGAATGGCAACTTCTCACTTATTGAGTACTAACAAAGTTGTGAAAAGGAAGCTAGATGGTTGCTCTGTTAGTTCTACCTCACTTCAGCCTTCAAGTCACTTCTTCGGTTCTCTCTCATCTGGGTATGAAACACACCTCATAGAGCTGTTTATGATTTCAGGAACACACATCAATTAAGTTTTTGATTCCTAAATCATTGCAAAGGGTCCAGTAACTGGCCAAATTTCAACAAGGTTGCAAGGAATAACTATTTTCATCCTATACTCTCTGGTGCTAGTGAGATGGTATATTCCTGGATCCCTACTGGAGCCCTATTCCTGTTGCCACAAAGTATACACACATCCATATCCATATAGTGTGCAAACATAAGTGCACTACAATGTGTGTGTACATCCACAGAGCATACACACATCCACATACATCCATATCATGCATCTACATAGGTTCACTATTAACACATAT